TTTGTTTGTTTGTTTGTTTATCAAGCGCCCAGTGCCCAACGCTTTTTCTTCTTCTTCTTCTTATATCTTTCTCGGCCTTTCAAATTATTATTATTATTATTCATATTAATATTAATTTATTATTGTTATTATTATTATTATTATTATTATTATTATTATTATCAGGGTTACCTGACCGAACGTTCGGGGGCCCCGGGCTGGCCCCGGGAGTTCGGGGTCCCGTTACGGGGCCGAACACCTCCAGGTTCGGCCCCGCCAAAATTTGGTTCGGGGCCTAAAAATAAGTTTTTTTTCTGAATTTTTTTTTGTGAGTTCTCTATGATGTTACTTACACGCCTATAAATTTTGAAGCCATTCTGCTAAGTCCAAAAAACATTAAAAATCGTCAAAGATGGGGGTGTCAAAACGTGCTGGCCCACTCACTATTTTGTTTTTTTTCACTTTTAACTTTTTGTTTTCACTTTATTTCGGGGCCTAAAATATTTTATTATTTTTTGAAAAAACATTAATGAGTTATTCATTATGTAAACAACATATCTGTAAATTTTCAGGGCATTTGTCAATGCCAAAAAATAATTAAAAATCGGCAAAGATGGCGGTGTCGAAAAGGTGCTGGCACGATCTCCTTCACGTAAGTCTTCATAGTGATGTACCGTGGCAATAAAACGTGTCCACGAACACATTCACGAGGATGAACAAGTACCGGGTATTGGGATACATTCCTCGCGATGTATCTCATGATGCCTTTAACAGGCCATCTGACAGACGCTTCCTGTCAGATGCACCACAATATTCGAATTTCACATTTCAAGTTCCTGTCAGATGCACCACAATATTCGAATTTCACATTTCAAGTTCTATTTCTCAACCCCCCCCCTTTAAAGCCCATAAAATCCAGACTTCCCGCCCACGGAAAGCCACGAGCTATCATGTCCAAGTTAGTCCAACTTCGTTTTTTTTTTTCCCCGACGCATCTCATTGGACGGGAGGTGGGCATCTTTACAGTCCCCGCTCGGAAACTACCAGTCCGTCGGGATCCAATCTATTCGACGGCCGTACTGAGTCACTCGATGCCACACGTGATCGAAATCCTGAACGGCGTGGTAGAATACCTTGCTAGTGGGTCCAGGCCCCAGGCAAATGTTGTTTAGTTTACTTTTCTCCATAACATTATTTTTTTTGGACTTTTCAATTTTTTGATTTTTTGATTTTTTTTTTTTTTTTTTTTTTTTTTTTGGGTCTGCATTCGGCTCGAACGACCGAACGCCTTCCGAAGGGGTCCCATACGTTCGGGCGTTCGGGTTCGGGCGTTCGGCCCGTCGGCCTTTTGGCGAACTTAGATCAAGTGTTAGTATCTGTTCTGGTGGAGATGGGGGAAGCACTACATTTCTTTGCTGAGGTCGATTTACGAAAATTTAATTCCGAGGGAATTAAAATCGATCTCAATTTTTGAATAAAACGCTGATGAAGTTTTTATTTTTTCGTTTGTTGGATTATTTGATTTATTTACTCATTTACTGATTTATTCATTTGGCCTTTTTTATTTTTGAAATCCATTTCGCATCTTAAGATCCTTACGTCATCTCCTTTAACACCCTTGCGCGCTGGAGAAGGAACATGAATGCAAACAATTCACACGGTGACAAACTCACACAACGCGGTAGAATCATCAAACAATGGTTGATTTTTTTTTTTTTTTTGGTTGGGAGATTAAAAAAAAAGCACATCCATTGGGCCTCGCCGCACTACTCACCAGATGCACAAAAAGACAAAAATGAAGGCGCTGCATCTTTCCATGTTCTCGCGGAAGATTCATTCTCATTTTGTACATTTCCTGAGTAGTTCGGCGAGGTCCGTTCACCGCCCCTCCATCCAATCAAGCCCAAGAACCAAGATCACTCCCCATTCCTCGATGTCCTAGTCAGCATCCCGAACAGAACGCCCGGTAATTATCGCTGTACCTGGACTGAAAATCACACAAAA